GCTGGCATCCTGACCGTCTCGTACCCCATTTGCCCCGCTTGACAGGTGCATGTGAGCACTTCGTGTGCACCATTTAGCCGCCGAGTGGCACGAGCGCAGCAGCAGCAGCGACAGCGGCAGCTGACGAAACAGAAGGCCGATGCTGGCTCGGATGGCAGCCACCGTTCATTGCGTTTCATGCCATCGCCCCATTATTTCCTTTTGATTTGCTTTGGCTGCAAAAGTCGTGGCGTGTTGAATGGCGCCCAAGCGTCGTCCTCGTCGTCGTCGTCGTCGTCGTCATCGTCATCGTCGTCGTTGTCGTTGTCGGCAGCGAGCATTTCATGCACTTGGCTGAGCTTTGAAGTTGCTTAACGCGTTTGATGTTTGCTGCAGCAGCAGCAGCAGCAGCCGCTGGGCCAATGCTCATTTGTATTGGGTGTGCGAGTGTGTGTGTGTGGAGCCATAAAGTTTAATGCATACAGCGAGTGTGACAGCTGGCAATGGGGTCGGTTTCGGGATACATATCATTCAATAGGGTACAGCGAGGGGCATGTCGCAAAAAGGCAGTGGCAAAGTCTTTTGCAGGCACTGTAAAATCCTAAGAGCTGACATTGCAAAAGGCTACGGGTGTTGCATATACGAGGGCGACTAGGTGTCAGGCCTATCGACAAGCGCAACGACTGTTAAACGTTTAAAATTTAAGTTCTACTCTCCACGTGGACTGCTCAAGTAACATTAACAACATAAATAGCAAAAAGCAATCAGTCTGACATGATATCGATCGGAATCAGAGATATGGTTTGACAGAGATTGAGGAAAAAATTAAATGCATAATAACACACAATCAACAACATTGATTAAAATAATAAAGACAATAACGAATATAAATGTGGTTGAATAAATTGCATTGAAAATTATTAGATAATTTATGAATATACATTTTTACATATGGTTGGTACTTTACAAATTTAAACTTTAATTTTAAATATACTCATTTATATTAGGCATATAAATTAAAAAATGTAATATATAAATAGTTATATCGAATAGTATCTTAATACAAAAATAAAATAGATTATTGTCTCAATGTCTCTTAACCCCAACTCTATATTTGCTGTCAATCTACAATATTTTGACGTTTTCTAAAAGTAACTTAATTTTTAAATATATTGATAATAATATATGGATAGTACATATTGATATATATTAAAAGTAATATCTCTATCGATCTGTAAAAATGTTGCAATCGAATGCAATATAATTAGTAGTCTACCTAAAAAAGTTGATGACTCTATTGTTAGAGCTGTGGATGACAAAGTTTTTGTGCCAGTCTCATCGACTCTATTAAACATCTAAAGTCGTTCAATTAGAGCTAAGTCGTCAGGTACGGTACGGAACTATCTCGTTCGAGATAGTTGTGTGTAATTGTGTAATCAATTTAATTGTAATGAGACCTTTTTGGTAATAAGTAAGATTGACAAGCAAAGTCTCCCAGCATTATAAATATACCATGAATAAATATTGTAAGCTAATAGTTTGGCTTTATTTTTTTTTTGATTTTTATAATTTTTTGCGACACCCTCATAAACGACTTTAAAAAAGCTAAAGTCGAAATATAACAACTTTTAACGAAGGAGCCAAAAGAGATGGTAAACTCTAAAGACCAAAGCAAAACACGAGAGAAAAATTGCAAAAGTTTTGGGCGCTCAAAAGGCGGCAAGGGCAGTGCATAAGAGAGAGTTAGACGCTTAAGGCTAAAGAGAGGGAGAGAGAATGAGATAGGAAAAAGAGTTCGTTTTAAACATGCCGCAATAATCGAAGTTGAAGTCGAACATCAATGGCTGCCAAAGCAGTCGGGCAAGCTTCAGGGCGGCGGCAGAGCACAGAGCAGACGATGCCCGAAGCCGGTCAGAGCAGATCCCAAAAAGTACGCAACACAATTTTAATTAGTTTTGAAAAGTATTTTAATTTTTGCAATTTGTGTGTGCCACACGGCGGCAGCCGGAGCCGCAGAAATCTCTTGCCTATTGCCAAAGCAATTGTTACAGCCACCTCCCACCCTCCGAGAACGACGCCCATGCAGTGTTGGACCAAGGGAACAAGCCGAAATCTCGTTTAATGCGGCACTTTAATGATTATTAACATTATTAGTTGTAATGAGCGTCGTCAGCCCGTTTTAAAGTTTGCCGAGCAAAATTTGCCAGCTATTCAAAGAATGGATGCGTAAAACAAAAGCGAGCAAAACGCAAAACCCAACAAAATAGGAAAAAAAAAGGAATAACTGTAAAAATAAAAAACAAAAAACCTAAGCGAAAGTTGAAAAAGTTGGTAGAAATTTTTGCAATTATTTTTCTGTTTTAATGTAATAGTGGCGTTTCCAGTTTTCCCCCTTTTCGTACTTTATTTTATTTTTGGTTTTTTTCGGCTTTGAAGCAAAAAGTTTGTTTAAACTATGCGGCCAGGCCGTTCTGAACGGTTCGCATTTCGTCCGTCGATCTGTCCAACCGTCCGTCCGTCTGTCCTGGCCAGTTTGGCGGTTGCGTTAAGCATTCTCAAAAGTATGCTTTGATTTTGCGCCCGACGTTTGACGCATTTGCCAACTGCGTGGAATTCAGTGTTCGAATTGTTTGTGCTTTGGTTTTTGCCCAATTTTTGCCGGATATATTTATTTTTTAGACTTTTTTCGTGTTTGTTTTCAGTTTGCTTTTTTTTTATTCTCAAAAAGTTTTTAAATTAAAGCCACTAGTTTTGGACAAAAGTTTAGCTAAAGTGGAAGTTATAAGACGAACAAATTTTAACTGAACTTACGAGTGAAATGAGGCAACGCACTTACCTAAAACGAGAATTGAAAGGAAAATATATTAATTATTTTTTCAAAATTATCGGTAGTTTAGTATTAGCTAATATAGCTTAAGATATTTACGAGCGAAGATCAAGTAAATAATTTTTGTTAGTAGATTAATCATTAATTTTTGTTTATTACGATGAATAAAGGAATACTCAAAGGATCTCAGGATCACCCAATAACAGAGTATTTTTCTTCTCATTTTATTAATATAAATATTAAAATTTACGTTATTACTCAAATTGCTGTATTCTATATCAGCAGGTATTTTTAGCTAGGAATAACATCAACCGACATTCAGATCTGTCTGAATTTCGTACGTTATTTCAAAAAACCATATTGCGAATTTTGTTTTCGATTATCATGGACTTCAAAAGATTCCAACTGTATATTTTTCCTTTAACTGAGCTAATCAATATTTGCCAATGTGTTGCCAGCAGCTCGAAAGACGCCCAATTTGCGGCTCAAATTCCGTAGCTGCCTTCGGCAACTATCCCAACCTAGGAGCTGTCGCGTCGCAGACGCAGACACACACACACACAGAAGCTATCCTGCGCTAGGACTTAATTACACACAACTCATTTGCCGCATACAAAACAAACTCTCCGGACGCACAACCCAGGGTCCCCACATGGGAACTGACAGACAGTAGACGTAGTCGTTGTCGTCGACGTCGCATTTGAAATAGAAAACCCAAAAAGGACACAAGCGGCGAGGACAACACATGACAGAGAACAGAAGCTGAAGCTTAACCAGAGGCTGAGATTCAGGCAGTGGCAGTGGCAGTGGCAGTGGCCTGATGGCAGCCACAATCAGTGAAGCGTGCAACTAACACAGACTTTTGTTTATATGTCATACAAATTACTCATACGTTAATAATTTAAACGGATGGCTGTTGATGATGGCCAGTCGAGGCGTCTGCAAATTTGCTTTGCCAATATACCCCACCGCCATCACTCCGCACCAGGCCTTAAGCATACTGTGAAATCAATATGAAATGAAAACCAAATACGCATTGCCTGTCTCTCTGCGAGTCTGTCTGCCTGATGGCCTGTCTAAACATAAAGGCAGCACCTCAAGCTTGTTTACTTTATGCCCGATAACTTTCATTATCATGCCCCAAAATTCATAACCCAAAGCAAAGATAGATACATATATATTTACCACATACGTGTCCATATACTCTATGCATGACTGTATATTGCACGTTGGAAAATTCATTATTTCATCAATAAAACAATGCGGCAATCAATATTTTCGCTTGACATTGGCTTGTTTGCCATATTATGCGCACACACGTACATTTATATTATTGTGTTCTTATTTGCTTTTAGCACATTTCATTTATATATAAAATGGACACTGAAAGTGTTTGGGATTTGCTCGTAGTTCGCGTCTTCAGTAAACTAAGGCATTCTTGTGGTAAAAATGTGTAATATAATTATATACATTTTTAAACATAAATGAATTTTAAAGAATTCAATAATAATTTATGAAGGAAAAGAATAGAATGGACTACCAGTCGAATTAAATTATGAGCAAAAGAATAGTCACGAGTTTGGACATCGTATTATTGTTTGGAAGAAAATTAAAACATTTTGATAAATCCACAAAACTTGCACTTCTCTCCTCATAATTCATTTCCAATTTGTTTTTTAATTTCAATAAAAAAAGGTTTTAATTCAATTGATTTTAGCCGTCTTAAACCAAAGGAGTTCTTTAAATGTGTAAAACCTGACCATTTACTAATAATTTGAGATAAATAATAAGAATTATGCGATAAAACATTTTAGGATATATTCAAAACTAACCAGATTTAATAAGTTGTACATGGTTAACTATGTTTATGCTTCGAAAAGGTACACACATATTTAATTTAAATACTTAACTCAGACTCAGATGGTTGAGATTAGTAAGTCAGCACAGTTTAAGAATCGGAATCGTCATATTCAAACTCTTGACCCACTGTAAGATCGGGCCACTTCAATGGAGAATGCGAATCGCTTTCGCCAATTAAGTAACCCCCCTTAAAGTGGGGCAAGGGCAACAATATATGTGCTCCCGGTCTCAACTGTAACGGTAGCTCGGCAAATTTTCGCACCCACTGAACTACCAACGATTCAACTGGATGTTGACTAATCTCATTTGGCTCAGTATTTAAATCATCTTCGTCTGGTATAGTGGATAGTTGAACTTGTTTAAAATTATCAGCGCGAGCCAAACGATTTTGAAGGTCAAACAAATAGAATTTACTATCTAAACGTCTGGCGTAGGATATACCGAGAGCATCAAGAATTCCACCAGCGTCGGTTAAACCTCTTTGATTTTGTGAACCAAACAGTTGGCATCTACCATCCCGACGTTGTGCTGGAGCAGGGCAGCCCAGTGTGTCCCATTGGAAAACGGATGGTGTTACAAATATGCCATCGTTATGCCTATGCCTGGGAGATAATATATATTTATTTAGCCCACCATCATCTGTTTTACCTATATTCTTGCCTTTAACCTGGCACTTCTTATTTCTCAGCTCCTGTTCTTGAAAACATTTCTTTAGCTGCTTCTCAAGTACGGCTACTCTTTTTTTTGCATCCTTGTAGATTTTGTCAATCGTTTCTGATTTCTGTCTTATATTGCGTGCATTTGATTTCTGTTGATCGATCTCTCTGCGATGCTTTTCGCATTCTGGGCATTTCATTTTTATTCCGGCCTCCTGACCTTTTCCAGCATTTTCCCATCTCTTGGATTTTATATTACCATCCTTAACATGACCATGCTTCGATAGTACTGTTTCCCAGTACATTTTTTCATATTCACTATTTTGTATTTCCGAACGTTTGCATTTTCTGTCCACTTTTGCAGAGTTTTTGCTCGCCGTTTGGCAAGATTTCACACATTCGTCGGGCTTGTTCATCTTTGCGACTTCCTTGCATTTCTGTAGGTGTGCTTCCTTTTTTAGCCTGCATTTGTTTTGCATTGCGTTTTTATTCGGTTCGGTGTTTGGGAATGCTTTGCATTTTTGTAGGTGTGCTTCTTTTTTCAGCCTGTTGAATTGACATGTATTGCATTTGTTGTGCATTTCGGTTTTATTTGGATCGGAGTTTGGATATACCTTGCCTTTCTGTAGGTGTGCTTCCTTTTTCAGCCTGTCTAATTGAGATGCATCGCATTTGTCTTGCAGTTCGGGTTTATTCGCATCGATGTCTAGGAATTTCTTTAGCCGTTCGAGTATGACCTGCTTCTTCTGCTTTCCGCTGGCTTCTATGCATTTTTTCTGAAGTAACGATCCAGCTGCTTGAATTCCACCACTGTTCCTTTTAAGCTTCTGTTGAAGGTCCTGCTCACGTTTATCTTCTAAACGCATTGAGCATTTACTTCTTAGTAACTCGCATTGCTTGATAATGTTATCGATCTGTTTTACTTCAGAGTTTATGTAATTGATATCAGATTGATTGACGCTCGCATTCTTCGCATTACCTTCTCTCTGCAGCGTTTCGACTCTTAATTGGAATTTTAGTTGTTCATCTGATTTGTTGCTTTGGTCCTCCTCCAATCTTGAGCTGTCCAACTTACGATCTAACGTTCGCTGGTACGCCGTCCAGGATTTACTAAGCGCATTTATATTCGCATCGTTCGGATCCAAAAATCTCTTCTCGTTTTGTTGCATGTCCTTAATGCGGCTGGCTTTCTGATAGCGTAGGTCATGCAATTGTGTCCTCGAGTACGCGCTCTTCGTGCTCTTTACAGGATCTAAGAACTTGATTTTATGTGTTGAGCTCAGCTCGAAGCCTGCATTTGGAAGTTTCTGTCCAACAGTACTCATTTTAGCCTTGAGTGCCCTGTTGAGTATAGAAGACTGGCTGACTTTTCTGCCGAGGCGAATGCCCTTTGGCATATTTTCGGTCGTCAAGTGTCTTTTCTGATTGCGTAAGTTATTTCGATTCTGCATATCATTGACGTATTTGGCTATACTATCCAGTTCGAACTCCTTGCGTTCAGAAAACCCTGCGCCAACTGGGTTACTGCAGATGATGTAATTTTCCCATTGCCGTAGATCCTCGAGCGCCTCTTCGAACTTCTTGCTAGGCAGCTGGTTACGCCACAGATCGCTCGAGCTCTTTTTTACCCTGGAGAACAGCGTATTAAGGTCGCCTTCGAATAAATCTAATGTGGATTCTTGTTCAGACTTATTGAAGGCCGACAGATCCCTACATAACGTTTGGGCCAGAGACTCATCTTTCGAGCCCTTGGGCGGGGTACACTTGTAATCTGAGGAGGATTTTTTACTGGATTTGGGTACAGCGCCATTTGAAAAAGGAATTGCTTTCAATTTTTGGAATAGTATATTTGTTTTCCCACAACAATCTTCTACTGGATCGTCTGAACCCTCAGTATAGTTTGAAGAGTACATATTTGGATTGTCCTTCTTTATGGATTTGGCTGGGCTGCATGAAAATACCACATTCTGGTCGGATCTGTTGACAAGAACACTTCGGACTGTTGCTCGTTTATCTAAACATTGGGGAGAAATGGAAGGGGACGTTCGACTTCTAAGCTGAAAATTCGACTGAGGATATGAGACACCAGACTCCAATCCAGAAGAAACTGATGCAACATTTGGCGTGTTCGGTTTCTTCTCCTGCATTTTGATTTCACTTTTGTTGCACAAGAATTTCTCTAAACTCGAATCTGTTTCTTGGTTTGGCTTTGGTGTGGCATCACAGTTAATGCAACGCGTACTTTCAGGTTTTTGAGGCTTTTGTTTGCCCGTGAAATCGCTAGACCGGATATTTCTGGGGCGTTGACCTAACAGTCTGGCGTCTTCTGTTGGACATGGATATATTAAGGATTCAACGTCGTTTTTTAATTGTTCTAGTTGCGAACAGGAAGAAATATTTGAAGTTTTACGCTTCACAGCTTTTGGGCACTTTAGTTTTTCTGGAGTGCAGTCTATTATATTACTCTGTCTCGTCAACAGCTCTGGCTTTATTTCTACGGTTTTCTTGGAGACATTTTCGGGTTTTGTAAATAGGTCACTTTTGGCAGATGATGGCTCCTCGCAATCGTAGAATCTGTCGCTCTGTGTTTTTTTTATCGAAGTGCTTGGATCATACAGTAGTTGCTTTAAGCGATCTAGAAACTTCTTAGAACCCCCATACCAAGATGATTTAATTGGTGCTCGTTTGCGCGACATATGCCGTTTGGGGTAGGCTTCGGCTCTTCTCTCTGCAAGCAAATGCCTTTTTGTTGAGCTTTCAGTTTTTTCTGCTGAGTGTGCATTCCATTTGACGTATACTTGACTTTTTTTCTCTATTGGTAGACTCTGACTGGCATAGATTTCAGTTGTCTTCTTGGCTGCTACTTCGCTGCTAGAACTTCTATCGCATAGGCTGCTATTGGAGTTCTTCTGGCGGGAGTAAGCAGAACAACTCTTAAATTTTGTTTCTGGATTCTTCTGAATGGCATGGCCAACCACCCCAACATGAGGAGGCTTCCTTTCAGATGGACTCCTATTTAAGTCAATGAATCGCGGCTGTTGCGAACGCGGGGAACCCCTAATGTTGCGGTTTACTTCTGCCGGCAGCTGGCAACGCTTGCATCCGTTCAGAATTGGCTGAAGCTGTACACAATTGCAAATACGCCACATGTTGGCAACGCCCGGAATGCAAATGAATTTTGTTTAAAATAAAAAACCAAATATGTATGTACTTATAAATCATTTATATCTATGCCCAACGATAATTTTTTAATTCGGTTAAATCTTATGAGAAGGCTGATTAAAAAGTCAAAACACTTTCTGTATCATCTACAGTTTAATTCCGTTTTGAGCTTCCAATAATTCTTGAGCCGATTCCTTCAACGCGTTTGACTCCCATTCTGATAGCTGGGGCCGAACGATGCCAAACAGACCCCATTTGTTAACAATACATGGTAGCGATAGATATATGTCGTCCTTGATTCCACACATTCCCTTTGCATTTGTTGACAACGACATGATGCGATTGCTGTTCTCAAATATGGCAGATACCACATCGGCAACGGTTAGGCCAACGGCCCAATTGGTGTAACCCTTTCCTGCGATCACCTTGAATGCGGCATCTACCACGTCCTTGTGTACCTTTGACCATTGCATCGGATCCTTTCCCGTACCCATAGTAGGAATCAGCTTTTGAAGTCTCACCCCACCCACAGTAACTGCCGACCACATGGGCACCGAAGATGCTCCATGCTCCCCAAGGACATAGCCGTGTACTGAGCTCGTCGACACGCCCAAAAGCTTGCCAATAAATAAACGGAAGCGTGCTGTATCCAAATGACAGCCAGTACTGAAGCAACGCTCATAGGGCAGATTACCTACTTTGCGGGCCACCCAAGTCATGACGTCAGCTGGATTGGACACAACTATAAACACCGCCTTGGGGCTCTGCTGGACTAGATCCGGCATTACGCTCTTGATAACATCCGCAGTCTTTTGGGCCACTTGCAAGCGAGTCTCATCCTCTTTGACGCGTGCTCCACACGTCACGATAACCACTCTGGACCCTTTGGTAGCCTCAACATTGCAACTTGGCTCCAGGTTACAATTGTTGAGGAATAATGAGCCGTGCAGCAGGTCCAAGGACTCGGCTTTACACAGTTTCTCATTGGTATCGTAGAGAGCCAAGTGATTAGTAATGCCCTTTGCGAGCAACGATATGGCACACCCCATGCCAACAGCGCCAGAGCCTATAACAGAAACCTTGTTGCCAAGCTCGTAGTCCTGTTTCTCAAAACTTTTATACAGACAGGTACGAAACGCATTTAAAAGTTCCTGGCTCTTGCAGTTGGAGTTCGACATCCTGCGTAAAGCAGTGGCACATTTGGGATAAACTAAAATGGCCTTGGCATGCAACTGTCTCCTAGTAACGCATGATGTGGGGCTAATTTGAATGCCGCAAAGGAAGTACTTTATGGTCATTATGCTGTCACATAAGATTTTACCAAAAAATTTGGAATTTACCTAAAGAGCTACAACTTTTTGAAACACATTTAAACTTAGATTAAAAAAATGACAATTGTAAGCTCGGTTACTACGTGAAGAAATGTTTTTTTTTTTATTAATTGTCTTTTTTTTTTATTTACTGTTAAAATTTTGATTATGTTGAACATCTCAATTTTTATTTTTGCTGGTTTCGAGCGCTTTCATATTCAAGGATTTAAAACTTGAGAAAATGACGCTTGAAGTTAACTTCTTGAAATTTGCTTAACATGCCAAGAATAATTATATAGGTTAAATTTAAACAAAAATGGGCAGACAGCACGACTGATTTAAAATGCGATCACAACAGATATTTGCTTTCAAGAGATATTTTTGAATCATGATAATCCGTCAGAATAATACAGAATGTGGGTTCCGTATAGCAGAAGCTATACATCGCAATATAGTATGGATATTTGTATTTTTTTCTGTATGATGGAATCTTTTCATTCGGTTATAGTTGTTATAGTTTTCATAACTCTCAGCTAGCATAGACAAAATCTTGATTTATTTTTTCTTTTTCACCTTGCCGTGACAATAAAAACAACGATCATTTTAAAGGGGTTTTTTGGGCAGCAGGAATAACGCAGTGCCAAAACCAAGCAAACTATATATTTATTTAGGATACTAAACTTAACTGAAAGCTTGGTTCGTTTTGTTGTGCTACAGTTTATAAAGTTTTCTGTGCGTCGATCAATACGTCTGCGGACCTTTTGAGCCTTCTTTCCTCCCAATCTGAAAGCTGAGGATGTATTACACCATACAGTCCACACTGGTTGACAATACATGGCAGAGATAGAAAGACTTCATCGTCGATTCCACACATGCCCTGGGCATTAGTTGACAATGACATGATGCGATTGCTGTTTTCAAAAATGGCAGACACAACGTCTGTAACGGTGAGGCCGATGGCCCAGTTAGTATAACCCTTACCCGCAATTACTTTGAAGGCTGAATCCACCACGCTCTCATGCACATTCGACCAGCGCATCGGATCCTTATCGGTGCCAATGGTAGGAAGCATATTCTGCAGTCGGGTACCTCCCACGGTCACGGAGGACCACAATGGCACAGAGCTATCTCCATGCTCCCCCAACACGAATCCATGCACCGAACGCGTTGACACTCGCACCAGCTGCGCAATAAACATGCGGAATCGGGCGGTATCCAAGTGACAACCAGGACTAAAGCAGCGCTCATAGGGCAGCTTGGTTACTTTACGGGCTACCCAGGCCATCACATCCGCCGGGTTTGACACAATGATGAAGACTCCTTTGGGGCTATGCTTAACCAGCTCAGGAACAATCTTTTTAATAATACCCGCTGATTTTTTGGCCATTTTCATGCGCGACTCGTTTGGCTTACAGCGTACTCCAGCTGTGACCACTACAACTCTCGAATCTTTGGTGCACTCCACGCTGGTGCAGTGGTCAATATTACAGTTATTAAGGAAAAGTGATCCATGTTCCAGGTCCATGCACTCTGCAGCGCACAAGTCCTTCTTCAAGTCGTAGAGAGCTATGTTATTGGTGACACCCTTGGCAAGCAAGGCAATTGCACAACCCATGCCAACGGCTCCAGCACCAATGACAGACACCTTATTACCGGGCTGAAATTCTTGTTTCTTTAGTGTTTTGTAAAGAACTGAGCGAAACGAAGTAGTATTTCCATTCTGAGTCTCTGCCTCGCTCTTCTTCTGAACCGCATTCTGGCACTTGTTTAGAGGCTCGGCTTCTTTATTTTTAGTATTCGGTGCGTCTGCTTCGCACTTTTTCTTTTGAGCCTCCTCTTCTTGTTTCTTCTTTTCAGCGGCGTCTTGCATTTTTTTCAATTCACACCTTTTCCTGAGAGCCATCTCTTCCACCTTTTCCTTGAGTTCTTGGCACTTTTTCTGTAAAGCTTCCGCTTCGCATTTTTCTTTTAGAGCCTCGTATTCGTTTTTAGTTTGAGCATCTTTTTGCTTTTTCCCAGGATTGTCTTGCGTTTTTTTCATTGCGCACTCTTCCTTGAGAGCCAACTCTTCCATCTTTTTCTTGAGTTCTTGGCACTTTTTCTCCAAAGCTTCCTGTTCGCACTTTTCTCTTAGAGCCTTTAATTCCTTTTTCGTTTGAGCATCGCCTTGCTTTTTCCCAGCGGTGTCTTGCGTTTTTTTCGTTGCGCACGCTTCCTTGAGAGCCAACTCTTCTATCTTTTTCTTGAGTTCTTGGCACTTTTTCTCCAAAGCTTCCTGTTCGCACTTTTCTCTTAGAGCCTTTAATTCCTTTTTCGTTTGAGCATCGCCTTGCTTTTTCCCTGCGGTGTCTTGCGTTTTTTTCGTTGCGCACGCTTCCTTGAGAACCATCTCTTCCACCTTTTTTTTGAGTTCTCGGCACTGTTTCTCCAAAGCTTCCTCTTCACATTTCTGTTTTAAAGCCTCTTCCTTTTTCTTTAGATCTTCCTTTTCGCATTTCTTTTTTAGAGCCTCTTCCTTTTTCTTTATAGCTTCCTCTTCGCACTTTTTCTTTTGCGCCTCCTCTTCTTGTTTCTTCTTTTCAGCGGCGTCTTTAATTTTCTTCATTTCGCACCTTTTCCTGAGAGCGTCCTCTTCCGCCTTTTTCTTAAGTTCTTGGCACTTTTTCTGTTGAGCTTCCTCTTCGCATTTCTTTTTTAGAGCCTCTTCCTTTTTCTTTATAGCTTCCTCTTCGCACTTTTTCTTTTGTGCCTCCTCTTCTTGTTTCTTCTTTTCAGCGGCGTCTTTAATTTTCTTCATTTCGCACCTTTTCCTGAGAGCGTCCTCTTCCGCCTTTTTCTTAAGTTCTTGGCACTTTTTCTGTTGAGCTTCCTCTTCGCACTTCTTTTTTAGAGCCTCTTCCTTTTTCTTAAGAGCTTCCTCTTCGCACTTTTTCTTTTGTGCCTCCTCTTCTTGTTTCTTCTTTTCAGCGGCGTCTTTAATTTTCTTCATTTCGCACCTTTTCCTAAGAGCGTCCTCTTCCGCCTTTTTCTTAAGTTCTTGGCACTTTTTCTGCTGAGCTTCCTCTTCGCACTTCTTTTTTAGAGCCTCTTCTTTTTTTTTTATAGCTTCCATTTCGCATTTTTTTCTTTGAGCCTCCTCTTCTTGTTTCTTTTTATCAGCGGCGTCTTTCATTTTTTTCATTTGGCACCTTTTCCTGAGAGCGTCCTCTTCCGCCTTTTTCTTAAGTTCTTGGCACTTTTTCTGTTGAGCTTCCTCTTCGCATTTCTTTTTTAGAGCCTCTTCCTCTTTCTTTAGAGCTTCCTCTTCGCACTTTTTTTTTTGAGCCTCCTCTTCTTGTTTCTTTTTTTCAGCGGCCTCTTGAAATTTTTTCATTTGGCACCTTTTTCGCAGAGCATCTTCTTCTGCCTTTTTCTGTTGGGCCTCTAGTTGTTTCTGTAAAGCTTCGTCTCGTATTTTCTTCAAAGCGCATTTTTTTCTAAGAGCCGCCTCTTCGCACTGTTTCTTAAGAGCTTCCTCTTCGCTTTTTTTCTTTTCAGCTTCCTCCTGCTGCTTTGCTTTTATAGCCTCGTCTCGTACTTTCTTCATTGCGCATTTTTTTCTGAGAGCAGCCTCTTCGCACTTTGCCTTGAGAGCTTCCTTCTCTTGTTTTTCTTTCTCTCCTTCGCACTTTCTCTTCAACGCTTCCGCTTCACACATTTTCTTTAGAGCCTCCTCCTCGCATTTTTTCTTTTGGGCCTCCTCTTGCTCCTTCTGGGCCTGCTCTTCTTGCTTCTTCTTTTGGGCCTCCTCTTCTTGCTTTTGCTGTTTAGCCATTTCTTCACACTTTTTGCTGAAAGCCTCCTCCTCACATTTTTTCCTAAGGGCCTCCTCTTCACACTGTTTCTGAAGAGCCTCTTCCATGCACTTTTTCTTAACTTTTTCGATTTCGCACTTAATAAAATCATCCTCCTCGGTTTTTGATTTCATTGCCTCCTCTTCTAGCGCCTTCCGTTGTTCAATCTTTGCACATATATCGTCTTCAACAAGCGTTCCATCCGATTCATTACTCTTTTGCTTTGAATGTACGTCCTTTCTGTTTTTGGGCTTGACTGGCACAATTTCCGAGCACATTTCTGTCAACACTTTCCTTTTGCATTTCTCTTTAACAAGCTCCGACATGCATTTGTGAGAACGGGCTAGTTGCATCTTTTCACTCTTGCTTAGCGCATCCCGACACTGACAGATATCTTCCCATTCTTTTTGAATACATTTCTCCAATTTCAACGTGAATTGATTTTTAGGCGCATCGGATTTTTCAAACGGATTCTCCTTATTTGCCAATTTACAGCATATAGATTCTATTGGATCGCTTCGTTCTAATTCGTCACCTACATTTTGTTTTTTAGACTTTTCCTTACTTATTTGATCCTTTACTTTTTCTTTAACCTTCTCCGTTTTTGACTTCTTTTTTGATGTTTCTTTTTGCTGGCTTTGGTCTTTCCCTTTCTGGCTTCCTTTACCTTCCTTACATCCCTTTTTCCCTTTTTTTGATTTAGGCTTCTTTGATTCCTTAGACGATTTTTTTGAGTCCTTTTCCTCATGAGACTTTTTTTTCTCGCAATGCCTCAATAACCTTTTGATCTTATCACTTTTAGCCATCATTGCACATTTTTTCTCAAGTTCTATATCATTAGAAAGCTTCTTATGGGCTAGTTTTTTACACGCCCTCTTCATACCTCGTGTCAAACATTCCATCATGCTTTCCATTAATTTTTTTTCCTTCTTGTCCATGCATTGCATTGCGTCATCTAGAAGTTTCTGTTGACTTTTCATACATTTTTCCTCATATTTCTTAAGTTTTTCTTTTTCTTTCAGTTTCTTGCAGGCCGCTTCTTGCTTCTCCTTTTCTTCTCTCTTTTTATCCATTAATTTAGTGTAGTATTCACAAGGATTTGGCTTGTCTTCAGAGGAATCCGAAGAATCAGAGTTTTTACAAAAGGACACTCGTTGCATGTATTTTATGGAAGTCCTCGGCAAGCGCATTCGGTCCAAATAGCCCGTAAGCAGAAAAATGCTTCTCAAAACGGACTTACGAACATAAATGGATGTGAACCTATTAAAAGACATGCTGTAGGCCTTATCTAAATTTTGATGCCGCAAAAAACTAAAATAATAAAATTTTGTCTAGTCTAAGAAATTGTTGTGGCTAAAATTTTGACATTATTGAGGCCCGAAAATAAACTGTTTCGTAGGTTTGCCTAATTGTAACTGAGCTGCTTTTCAAATATTTAACTATACACTATTTGAAATGAGTACTAGATATGCAATAAAAAAGATCCCATTGCACGGGGTATTTTGCCTCCAATTCATGCCCGTTCTTTGATTCTTAACATTTAATATAATTCGTAAATTAATTTAAGAAAATGCAGCAAACTTCTTAAGCTAATCTAAATAGCATGAAATTCAAAGAATCAGTTATATATTTTATATACCGCGTGTTTTGTATTCTAAGCAGATGCAATTTAGGAACATCCTTCGATACACGATACACACTATATCAAAATGTATTTTCTATACATCCCAATCGGTAGTTGTACCAATACAAACCAAAACGACAGAAGACAGCAACAGACATCGCTTTCCACATTTCGTATTTTCACAATTGGTAATAAAATATAAATGGTTGTTATTGGTTCCAAATTAACAGCCGACTTTATTCATCTATCTGATTTTAAGATATTTACGTTAAAAGGAACAAGTTTTTATTTAAAAAAAAAAGTTATATAATCCATGGCGTGAAGGCTACTTGACTATTTTTCAGCGTTTTAATTTAGTATATTACTTGAATGGATCGCACTCACAACCCTTAGTTGCGTCATCTTTCTGTTTGTTGTTTTTAAGGGCCTGTTCTTCCCGCTTTTTCTGGTGAGACTCCTGTTTACATTTCCTCTTGAGGTCGTCAAATTTCGTTTGAAGTGTGTCCTGTTCATTATTTTTCTTCAAAACTTTCTCTTCTGCCTTTCTCTTCAGATCCTCATCTTCTTTAGCTTTTTTAAGAGCCTCTTCTTTTTTAAGAGACTCCTCTTGCTCTTTTCTACAAGCCTCTTCTTCCATCTTTTTCGCTTGGTCCTTTTTTTTTTGCTTTTGAGTCTCCTCTTCGCACAGTTTTTTTAGTGCCTCCTTTTCTTGCCGTTTCTTAAGAATTTTGTCTTCGCACGATTTCTTAAGTGTTATCAGCTTTTTGCGTAAAGTTGCTTCCTTGCAATTTTTCTCTAGAGCATCCGCATCATTTTTTCTCTTTTGAGCCTTTTCTGCTTCCTTTGCCATTACGGCATCTTCTTCTTTCTTTTTTTTAAGAGCTTCATCTTCTTGCTTTTTCTTAAGAGCTTCTTCTGCTGCTTTCTTTTTATTAACCTCTTCTTCTTTCAGTTTAATAAGTGCTTCCTCTTCCTGCTTTCTCCTTCTTCCCGCCGCCTCACACTTATTCATTAGAACGTCCTCTTCCATTTTAAGAGCCTCTTCCTCCTCCTTGAGAGCTTTTTCTTCGGCTTTTTTCTTTAGTGCATCCTCTTCTTTATTTTTTTTACACTCGCCCTGTTCCTTATTTTTCTTAGAAGCCGCTTCTTTACCCATTTTCTGTGTAGCTTCCTTGTCGCTCATTTTCTTAGGAGCCTCGTCTGCTGTTTTTTTCTTGTTGGTCGCTTCTTCTTTTTTCATGTTAGCCGACTTTTTGCCTTGGTTTTTAAGTTCTTCTTGACTAATTTTTTCGTGCGTTCGGTCTCCTTGATTTTTTTTTTTATCTGCCTCCTTACATTGATTCTGAAAAGCTTCCCCTCCACACTCTCCCCCTTGTATTTTCTGTTTAGACTCTGCCTCGCACTTTATTTTCTTATCTTCCTCTGTTTGACACTGTTTCTTAACGGCGTCCTCATCATACTTCTTCTTTAGAGCCGCCGCGGCTGGCTTTTTATTTTGAGCGTTATCTTCCTTCTGATTTTTGTTCGGCTTGTCCTCACACGGTTTCTTAAGAGCCCCCTCCTCTGTCTTTTTCTTTTGGGCCTCCGTATTTTCAGCTTTCTGTTTACACTCTTTCTGCTGACCTCGATCTCCTTGATCATCCTGCTGCATTTTATCGAGCTTGCATTCAGATTCCGGTTCTGCACTTGTGCCACACATCTCGTTCAACACCTTTATTTTGCACATATCCTTTATTTGAGTGGCCAAGCATTTGTGAGAAAGCGCAAGCGTTTCCTGCTCTCCTTTTGTTAAGCTTTTGCGAGTCTGACAGATATCGGTCCACTCTTGACGAATGCATTTCTTTAGTTTCAGTAAGTATTGCTCTTTTGGACTGCCAGATGTTTCAGTCGGTTCCTTAGTTTTACACAATTTTAAGTAGAGACATATGTTTTCTATTGGATCTACGTTTTCTTGACACAGTCCGGGCTTATCACTTTTATCTTTTTTTGACGCTTCAGCTTCCACCGATTTTGCTGAATCTTGTTGACAACTATTTTTCGGTTTATCGACCATTTTGTCTTGATTTTGTATTTTTACCTTTGTTTTTTCCTCGCTTTCTAATTTTTTCTGTGGCTTGTCATCTTTCTTGTTTGCACAGTCCTTTTCCTCTTTTTTGGACGCATCTTTCGGCGATTTATTTAAGGATTCTTTGCAAGAGGCTGTTTTTGTTTTGCCAGATTCACGTTGCTCGCCTTTTTGTTTTTTTACCTTTGTTTTTTCCTCGCTTTCTATTTTATTCTGTGGCTTGTCATCTCTCTTTTTCGGGCAGTCCTTTTTCTCTTTTTTGGACGTATCATTCGTCGACTTTTTCGAGGATTGCTTGCAAGAGGCTGTTTTTGATTTGCCAGATTCCCGATGCTCGGCTTTTTGCTTCTTACACTGACCCAACAACTTTCTGATTTTCTTTTTTTTATCCAATTGGGCACACTCATGTTCAAGATCTTTTTCTTCTTTGAGCCTCTGTTCGGCTCCTGTCTTACAAGCCTTCTTCATGCCTTTTTCCATGCACTGCATCATACCTTTTAATATCATTTGTTCCTCCTTGCTCATGCTCTGCATTTCCTTTTCCAAAGCTTTCTTTTTTTCCGCCAAACATAATGTCTCGAATATCTTTAGCTTTTCCTCATCTGTCCTTTTCGCCGCATCCTTTTCCTTGTCACAATTCACCTTCTCCACTATGCTGGTGTGTTCTGTATCCGAAGAATCAGTGCCAGAACCACATTTGCTACTAAAGGGAAATCTCTGAAAGTTGTTTAACGAGGCCATCGGAAGATGCGTTCGCTCCTCATAGTCGGTTATGATGGAAACGCCTCTGGAGAGGGCTTTGCGCAGAACAACGGTAGTAAAGCGACCAAAAAACATAGTGGGTGTATTCTATAATTTTGTGGACCAATTAACTAAACTATACCAAATGTCTTTACTAGATGTAATGTAAATTTTGGCTTATTTTATTTACAGTTTTGGCAAAAATTTTGACATAATTGGAGCTCTAAAATAAACTAAGTGAGATGCCTGACTTTTTTTGACTGTATAGATTTTAAAATTTTACATCTTCCCCTAATTTTTTGTAAACTTCGCAATGGCACTTGCTCCCATTTGTATACAGCGGGCCGTATCGTTTCTGTCATTCAAGTGCTGAATATAAAACAAGAGGCTCTGATCGGCAGCTCCCGACTAGGAGGTAGTCGGACCCTCTTCTACCAACACCAAATGCTGCTCGCGATACGAGCTCGTTTGCTTTAGTAATAAGAAAAAAATGATCGAAAAACAAAAAATCGTCCCTTAAGAGGATTCGAACTCGTAACAGGCGGCACTACTTGAAACCGTCTCTAATTGCTTAACAGCCAAACCAACAACTAATCACTACTGAAAAGGAAATTATTTAAGGTAGCAGCACTCGCACACAACTCTGAATACAATACAAACCCAATTGCAAAGCTGTTGACAGAATTCAAAAAAGACTCGCATGAATGTGTGTGTGCATAATGATACAAAAATTCTTGTGCTTTCCGCTAGCTTTTCTATTTTTTCGTTTCTACTTTTTTTTAATAATTGTTGTGTTTCTTAACCGATCTTGATGAAATTTTCTCAAAAAGTCAATTGCATTAAAATTGTGGCTGAAATTGGTGGGCAATACGAATTGGTTTATTTACTTGATTTATAGCTCTGTGATGGTAGCGGGGAAGCGGCGATAGCTATAAAATAAAAGATACTTGATATATATATACTATTCTAGATAGTCCAGTTCGGTGACTAGCATTATAGCTTACGAGACTTGCTGCAAAAACAGGATTTCATTATCGATTATTATCGATTAATTGGAAAAGGGGAAACTTATCGATTATCGAAAACAAACTCGTACTGCGCGGGCACTAGGTGCACCTACGTTCCAAATCAAGTCTCTAGCTCTTATAGGTTCTGAGATCCTTGCTTTCATACATACGAACGGACAGGCAGGCGGACAGACAGACCGACATAGCTAATTCAATTCGTCCATTGATGCTGATCAAGAATATACTTTGTGGGGTCGGAGATGTTCCGTTCTGCTCGTTACATACATTTGCACAAATACACTATACTCTTTTAAACATTTTTAATGGGTTCAGGGTATAAAATCAGAATACAGTGCTATAACGCCAGATTCTGCCTATAGAGCTGATATAGTATTGTAGTGTGATCTTGGTAAGATTTGGCTAATATATAGGGAGCATAGTGAGACTATTATATGCCGAGTTTGGTCAAGATATCTTGATAAACAAAAATGTCGTTCACACAAGAACTTAGTTCTCGACTGAGGCAGCTGCGTGATATAGTGAATAGCTTTAAAAGTAAGAGACTAGCTTGCATAAAAATAGAGAGAAGGATTGACTCGCCTGTGAACATTTTTGCACAAAAGAAAACCCAATGTCTTTTCCTAAAGCGACCATATTGTACGTGGGATTCAGATTTAAAAGGTTTACCCTTTTTTAATGGGTTCAGAGTACACAAATTCACTGCAGGCCCATAAATCGTGCATAGATGCAGCATTTGTAATGCTGTGCTTACCAGAGAGAACCCATAACAGGCTCAACCCGCCCTTTAAAACCCATTCTCATTTAAGTTCTAAATAAATTTTATTTACAAATACTACCGAGGCGTGAAGGCAAGAATACTAAATTTTTAACATTTTCTAGGAGCGTTTCACTTATTCTGCATGCCGTTTTTTAAATTTTATCTTCTGTACTGATTCTGATGTTTAGAACAGCTGGTCTTTTTTAAACCTAGAGGACTTGGCAGGTTACACTACTTTTTGGGAGCCTCCTTATCAGACTTAGCCGCATCTGCACATTTTTTCTTTTCGGCAGCTTCTTTCTCCTTTTTAGCTGCCTCTGAACACTTTTTCTTCTGAGCCGCCTCTTTTTTCTTTTGAGCGTCCTCTTTGCACTTTTTCTTAAGAGCTTCTTGGTTACGTTTCTTTTTAAGAGCTTCCTTCTTTTTTTTATTTTTTAGAGCTGCCTCTTTACACGTATTCTTAAGAGCTTCTTCTTTTCCATTCTTTTGAGATTCTTTTGCCCCTTTATTTTTTTGAGCACCCCCTGCACACTTTTTCTTTTCTGCAGCCTCTTTCTCCTTTTTAGCAGCATCAGCGCATTTCTTCTTTTCAGCCGCTTCTTTCTCCTTTTTAGCCGCCTCCGCGCACTTTTTCTTTTCAGCAGCTTCTTTCTCCTTTTTAGCAGCATCTGCGCATTTCTTCTTTTCAGCCGCTTCTTTCTCCTTCTGAGCCGCCTCCGCGCACTTTTTCTTTTCAGCAGCTTCTGCCTCTTTTTTAGCAGCATCTGCGCATTTCTTCTTCTCAGCCGCTTCTTTCTCCTTCTGAGCAGCCTCAGCGCACTTTTTCTTTTCAGCAGCTTCTGCCTCTTTTTTAGCAGCATCAGCGCATTTCTTCTTTTCAGCCGCTTCTTTCTCCTTCTTAGCCGCCTCCGCGCACTTTTTCTTTTCAGCAGCTTCTTTCTCCTTTTTAGCAGCATCTGCGCATTTCTTCTTTTCAGCCGCTTCTTTCTCCTTCTGAGCCGCCTCCGCGCACTTTTTCTTTTCAGCAGCTTCTGCCTCTTTTTTAGCAGCATCTGCGCATTTCTTCTTTTCAGCCGCTTCTTTCTCCTTCTGAGCCGCCTCCGCGCACTTTTTCTTTTCAGCAGCTTCTTTCTCCTTTTTAGCAGCATCTGCGCATTTCTTCTTTTCAGCCGCTTCTTTCTCCTTCTGAGCAGCTTCCGCGCACTTTTTCTTTTCAGCAGCTTCTGCCTCTTTTTTAGCAGCATCTGCGCATTTCTTCTTTTCAGCCGCTTCTTTCTCCTTCTGAGCAGCCTCAGCGCACTTTTTCTTTTCAGCAGCTTCTGCCTCTTTTTTAGCAGCATCAGCGCATTTCTTCTTTTCAGCCGCTTCTTTCTCCTTCTTAGCCGCCTCCGCGCACTTTTTCTTTTCAGCCGCTTCTTTCTCCTTTTTAGCAGCATCTGCGCATTTCTTCTTTTCAGCCGCTTCTTTCTCCTTCTGAGCCGCCTCCGCGCACTTTTTCTTTTCAGCAGCTTCTGCCTCTTTTTTGGCAGCATCTGCGCATTTCTTCTTCTCAGCCGCTTCTTTCTCCTTCTTAGCCGCCTCAGCGCACTTTTTCTTTTCAGCAGCTTCTTTCTCCTTTTTAGCAGCATCTGCGCATTTCTTCTTTTCAGCCGCTTCTTTCTCCTTCTGAGCAGCTTCCGCGCACTTTTTCTTTTCAGCAGCTTCTGCCTCTTTTTTAGCAGCATCTGCGCATTTCTTCTTTTCAGCAGCTTCTTTCTCCTTTTTAGCAGCATCAGCGCACTTTTTCTTTTCAGCTGCTTCTGCCTCTTTTTTGGCAGCATCAGCGCATTTCTTCTTTTGAGCTTCCTCTTCTTGCTTTTTAGCAGCCTCTGCACACTTTTTCTTTAGAGCTGCCTCTGCGCTTTTCTTCTTCTCAGCCGCTTCCTTCTCTTTTTGAGCCGCTTCAGCGCATTTCTTCTTCTCAGCCATTTCAGCGCATTTCTTCCTTTGTGCCGCTTCTGCCTCTTTTTTAGCAGCATCCGCGCATTTTTTCTTTTCAGCAGCTTCCTTCTCTTTTTTAGCAGCATCTGCACATTTCTTCTTCTCTGCCGCTTCCTTCTCTTTTTGAGCCGCGTCAGCGCATTTCTTTTTCTCAGCCGCTTCTTTCTCCTTCTGAGCCGCGTCAGCGCATTTTTTCTTCTCAGCCGCTTCTTTTTCCTTCTGAGCCGCCTCCGCGCACTTTTTCTTTTCAGCCGCTTCTGCCTCCTTTTTAGCAGCATCAGCGCACTTTTTCTTTTCAGCAGCTTCTGCCTCCTTTTTAGCAGCATCTGCGCATTTCTTCTTCTCAGCCGCTTCTTTCTCCTTCTGAGCCGCCTCCGCGCACTTTTTCTTTTCAGCCGCTTCTGCATTTTTTTTCTTCTCAGCCATTTCAGCGCATTTCTTCTTCTCAGCCATTTCAGCGCATTTCTTCCTTTGTGCCGCTTCTGCCTCCTTTTTAGCAGCATCTGCGCACTTTTTCTTTTCAGCCGCTTCTGCCTCCTTTTTAGCAGCATCTGCACATTTCTTCTTTTCAGCCGCTTCTGCCTCTTTTTTAGCAGCATCAGCGCATTTCTTCTTTTCAGCCGCTTCTTTCTCCTTCTGAGCCGCCTCCGCGCACTTTTTCTTTTCAGCAGCTTCTGCCTCTTTTTTAGCAGCATCTGCGCATTTCTTCTTCTCAGCCGCTTCCTTCTCCTTCTGAGCAGCCTCCGCGCATTTCTTCTTTTCAGCAGCTTCTTTCTCTTTCTTAGCAGCATCTGCGCATTTCTTCTTTTGAGCCGCTTCGGCATCTTTTTTGGCCGCATCTGCGCACTTTTTCTTTTCAGCCGCTTCCTTCTCCTTCTGAGCCGCCTCCGCGCACTTTTTCTTTTGTGCAGCCTCTTCCTCTTTTTTAGCAGAATCTGCACATTTCTTCTTTAGATCCGCTCCTTCCTCCTTTTTAGCAGCATCTGCGCATTTCTTCTTTTCAGCAGCTTCTTTCTCTTTCTTAGCAGCATCAGCGCATTTCTTCTTTTGGGCCGCTTCGGCATCTTTTTTGGCCGCATCAGCGCATTTCTTCTTTTCAGCTGCTTCCTTCTCTTTCTTAGCAGCATCTGCGCATTTCTTCTTTTCAGCTGCTTCCTTCTCTTTCTTAGCAGCATCTGCGCATTTCTTCTTTTGAGCCGCTTCGGCATCTTTTTTGGCAGCATCTGCGCATTTCTTCTTTTCAGCTGCTTCCTTCTCTTTCTTAGCAGCATCTGCGCATTTCTTCTTTTCAGCTGCTTCCTTCTCTTTCTTAGCAGCATCTGCGCACTTCTTCTTTTGAGCCGCTTCCTCCTCTTTTTTGGCCATATCTGCGCATTTTTTCTTCTCAGCCGCTTCCTTTTCTTTTTGAGCCGCTTCTGCGCACTTTTTCTTCTCAGCTTCTTCCTTACATTTTTTTTTCAGCTCCTGCACTTCACGCCTTATATTAGCTTCTTCTTCACTTTTTTCCTTCATCATCAGTTCTTCTAGTTCTTTATCCATTTTTGGTTGCGGCTCTGGTTTCTCTGCTTCTTTTTTGGTATTTTTTTTCTCCTTTCCTTGTCCAGATTCCTCACACATTTCTTTCAAGACCTTCTTTCTGCAGACATTCTTGAATTCAGCCTCAAGACATTTGTGAGATTGCGCAAGTTTTTCCTTCTCTTGCTTAGTAAATTTGCTTCGACACTGACAGACATCGGCCCATTCGCCTTTGATGCACTTTTCCAATTTTAACGTAAATCGATTTTTAGCCTTATCTGTTTTTTCAGCAGGTTTTTTCAAGGAAGAACAAATTTCTTCAATTGGATCTTTCTGTCCAGAGCATCCATCATCCTTGGGCTTCGCATCCTTCGACTGGGCACCTTTGGACTGCCCATCCTTCGACTGCCCATCCTGACCGTCTTTTGGCTTATTTTCCGCCGCACACTTACTCATTAACCCTTTAACTTTATCATTCTTAGCTAGTTCTGCGCACTGGGCTTCAAGTGCTTTTTCTTCCCCGAATTTCTTTTGGGCTATTCTCTTGCACGCCTTTTTCATGCTCTCGGTCAAACAGGACATCATGCTCTGCATCAGCTTCTGATCTTTTTTGTCCGCACACTGCATTTCCTGATCCAAAGCTTTCTTTTGAGCCTCCAAGCATTGCTTCTCCAGCAACTGTAATTTTTCTTCGTCCTTTTTTTTATTGGCGGCTTCTTCCTTCTCCTTTTTCTGTTTATCTTCACAGCTACTCTTGTTTGCCTCCTCTGGGGGCTCCGAGTCAGCCGACTTACTGAATGGAATTCGCTGCATGCTACTAAGCGAACTCGGCAAGTGAGTTCGGTCCATGCAGTCCGTCAGGTAGGATAGTCCTCTTAAAACGGGTTTACGCAAATGGATGGATGAGAACCGGTATAAAGACATGCTGAACAAATTTTATTTCGTAACTGACTACAAAATAACTGTTATTTGGAAAATTTGGCTTTAATTCTATTTTGTTGTGTTAGGTTAAAATTTAGACATAATTGGGGCCAAAAAGTGAACTGTATTGTAGGACTGACTATTTCAGACTGACTATGTTTCATCAGACGGAACAACATATGCGCTAAAATTTACACATGAGTACTAGATGTAAAAAAAAAATTTATTTTGATGAAATTGAGTAAAAAACAAATTGAGCAAAGAGCTTGTTTATAAAGTGTCAAGTTAACTAGTCGCATTTTCAACTGATATAGCTTTGGCTACTTTTTACTTTATTGCTTTTACTTCTATTTTTAACGAGCGATAGCCTCATGGACGACTATTAATTTTTTATATACGATCCTGCTGCCTACCATTTAATATCTTTTCTCCATTTCCAAAACAAATTGTTAAATTGGCTAAAGTAGCTGGAAATAATAAGCATAAGAAGGTAACGTGCTTTTAAAGCAAAAACATCAATAATATTATCCAAATCAACTAATTTGCGGGCCTATTCATTACCTGAAAACCAGCTTTTATCCGAACCGTTTGAAACACAACATAAGTAATATTTTATATATATCGACAAACTCTTCAAGCTAACCTTTTACCTATTAACCTGAAGCGAAACCCGAACCGAATCATATTCTTTAGAAATATGGTCTGCTTCATCATCAGAATCTTTCAGATGGACTCAACCTCAAAGCATTAATAAGTTGGGACCCAACGATTAGAATTATCGATGCCAATTTAAGCCTGTAACTTAACGGTGAAAACATGAACGACAAGAAATATTTGCATTAGGAGAAACAAATATAAATTAGAAATTGTTTCAATATCCCTTAGTTAATATCTGACTAATTATGGCTTAAACCAAAGCCCCGCTCTGTGGATGTTTCAGCAAACCAATGACCATATGAACTTTCATTTAGTTCACTAAATTATATATGTATATGTATGTATATATATATAAAGAGGAGAAATAACGCATAGATGGCAACCCTGAAGTTCAGTAGCAGTAGTTCCCTCTTATTATTCAGGCAGTCGAGAGAGTGGATCAAAACGAACTAGTAGAGAAGTGGCGAGAAAAAGATCGGAGCCAAAAGTTGTCCATGTCAGTCGATAGTTGCTGTAGTTGTTCTTATACAGTTGAGAATATCCAAATGGTATTATTATATAAGTTGTTGTATGTCGGGTATTTAGTCGCTTGTGTGCCGTTGTAAAATTGTCTAGGAACTGTCGTGGATTCTGGCATCATATCCATCAAAATCGCATTCGCCAATTAGTTATATCGTGATCAGCTCATACTGTTGTCAACTGAACATTATTAAATAACATACATTATGACCGTCGGATAATCGCTCCGCGCACGTTCATGCCTTGACTAAAAAATATAATTTTTCAACTTTTTGACCTATTAAATGGGTTATTATTTTAAAAAGTAAATCAATAAAAAATATTGTTTCCCTCTGTGTTGGGTTCGATCTGGAGCTCCCCTTTAACTGCAACAAAGAATATGCAACAAATTAATTATTGGGGGTCACCAATACATCCATTAACGGGGGTTGCAGCCTTAGTAGATTTAATTACACAAATATTATATATTATCTGCTTTCAGGACTACTTTTCAAACTGATAAATCCGTATGAAGTTGATATTTGTATTTAATGTAGCTTTGTTCGCCTCAATTAAATATTTTCACAGTTTCTTAAAGAAGGATTATACAAATTTTTGGAATCTTCTAGTTACAGCAGCATACCAAAGACGATGAATTACTTTAACTAATTGAATTGCCTTGGATTACTTAACACCTGTTATTTTTTTGAAAACACCAATTCTTAAATTTGAAAGAGATCTAACAAACTGTACCCTGATGCTCAATTTAGCTTAAGGACTAGTTTTCTTGCTGTAAGGAGGCCCATTGAAAGCGGTTTCGAGGACATGAACAACGATTTGGACCTACTTTTGTGGAACACAATAAAACAATTAAAGAAACGCATAAACAAAAGGGGGGAGGGGGGTTGGAAAGCGGAGGAAAGAAGAGATTTTGTACATGCAAACATTTTAAATATAAATGTGTCAAACACACAGCCGAATCAGGGACACAGACTCAAACTACGATTTTGGATTCGGATTCAGCGCAAACGCAAATTACCAACAATAACAAAAACAATGGCAAAAGCAAGTTACACAAAATTAATGAGGACGTAAAAGTATTTAAATATAAAATGTTGCCAGCGCACACACGTAATTGCGGCGTAAGTTTTGAGTATACGTGTGTGTGTGTGTGTGTGTGTATGTATCCATGTGCGCCGTAAAATGTTAAAGCATACTTATGTGCGCCACTGTAGTCAGGTGGGTAGTCAACTTGGCTCGGCGTTGTCTGCTGTTGTCTGCTTGGCGGCGCATGAAGTGAAAATTAATTTCTAAATGCGGGAAATTAACAAATTACAAACAACGCGACAAGCGAAGGGTAAAGGGCAAAGGGCAGCAGGTGGCAGGCACCAGGCAGCAGCAGGCGGAAGTAGACATGCCATAACTTACAAGCGCGCACACACACATGTACTTGGCGCATTCATGCGCAACAGCAAAGTTCGCTTTGGGGGCGGCAAGTTCCATGGAGAACTCAAGGTGTTGAAGCGCAGGTGAGACACATTGTCTTACCTTTGCCTGCCAGCCATGAAGTTGTAGACATATTTCTACACTCCACGCACACATGCACAGCCCCGCCCGCTGACAGTTGACAGCTTTGCTAATTTCCAGCAGCCACCCACCGAAAATGAAGTCGGGCGTCTGTCAACGTCTTGCGCTGCCATAACAGCCCGTACCCCTTCCCAGCCACTGCTTCCCCTTTTACACCTGGGCCCCCAACCACAGCCGATGCGGTCGCGCTTTCAACGTTTAATTAAGTTGTGCTCGATTTTATGTTCGACAAAATTGTTTGTCTGCCGCCTGCACTTGCTGTTGCCTATTTTAGGTCTGAAGAGTCAACGTTGCGGTGTGCGTGTGTGTGGGTGTGGCCTTGTGGGTGTGGCACTCGCTTGTCATGTCGCGGTTGTGGCCGCTACTCGCGTTGTTTTCCTGTCATTTGGTGACATTTTTTGCGGCTAATGCAAAGAGATTTGAAAATTGTTGACAAAAAGTTTATATATCTAAGTGCAGAGAGTTGCACATAATTAGAATATGCTTGTAGAAATTCACAAAACACACAAACATTCAAGCCAAGAAACTATCTTTAAATAAAACAACAATGTTTTGGCTTACAGTGTGTAAAATTGTGAAGCTCGTAATTGCTGAGTTTGGTAAAAATTAAAAAGTCAATTGCATTAAATTGTGGCGTAAAGTGGTGGGCAATACAAATTGGTTTATTTACTTGATTTATAGCTCTGTGGTGGTAGCGGGGAAGTGGCGATAGCTATAAAATTAAAGATCCATATCGATTTGTATCAATTACTTGGAAATGGGGCAACTTATCGATTATCGGAATCAAACTCGTACTGCGCGGGCACTAGGAGGACCTACGTACGTTCCAAATTAAGCCTCTAGCTCTTATAGGTTTTGAGATCCTTGCGTTCGACAGACCGACATGGCTTGAGCAACTCGTCTATTGATGCTGATCAAGAATACACTTCATGGGGTCGGAGATGTCTCCTTCTGCTTGTTACATACATTTGCACAAATACATTATACCCCTTTTAAACATTTTTAATGGGTTCAGGGTATAAAATTAGAATACAGTGCTATAGCGCCAGATTCTGCCTATAGAGCTGATATAGTATTGTAGTGTGATCTTGGTAAGATTTGGCTAATATTTTAGGGAGCATAGGGAGACTATTAAATGCCGAGTTTGGTCAAGATATCTTGATAAACAAAACTGTCGTTCACACAAGAACTTAGTTCTCGACTGAGGCCTAAGGCAGCTACGTGATATAAATATAATATAAAACCTAAGGCGTTTCTTTATAGCGATCAACTAATAAAATACACTAGGGCGCTTAAATTTCATATATGATGACATGACAAATGACATTCCAAATACGTCGCCTAGTGCTAAGTCTTGTCTACGACTATATGAAAAACTATTCCACAGGCGAGCCGAAATCGCCCACCCAGAATGAGGCGGGAAGAGGGGAAATAAAAAAGAAAAACCGATTTATAATTGCGACTGCTCGTCTTGTCTATTGTCATTCAGCTGGGCAAGACTGTTGCTGGGGAGACAACAGGGGGTCGCCGCGTTGTCTGGTTGTCTCCGAGGCAAAGATTCATCTTAAAGCCTCGATTTGCGCCATTGTCATTGTCACCTACACAAAGACAGACTCGTGTCTGTGTGCATAGATACAAGTAGTTGTGTGGTTGGGGTTCGGCTCATTCATCAGTCGGTACTCATTCCACTGGCGGCATTCATTCGTGCACTCATTTAGACATTTGCTGCGCATTTGGCATTGTTAACTATCCGCTTGCAGTTCCCCTTCTACTGTTTTACCATGTTTTTTTGCTGTATTTTTTTCATTTGGAAGCTGCTGCTGTTGCTGTTGATTGTTGCACAAGGATTTGTCAAGGATAAAACACTCGAGGGCAGTCGAGTTGGTTGTCATGATTATGTTGATGTCTATGCTTATGATGATGTCCCTGTTGTTGTTGTTGTCGTTTGGTTGCATACTCAGCATCGCTGCCAGCTGTTTGTGTTTTAGGTTAGATTGAGGCTGTGACGCCATCATAAGGACATTGTCATTGTAGCTGTTGCAGATATTGTTGCCCCTTCAGCTTCTTCTGCTTGCCGTGGCGCATTATAAAACAGTTATTGATTTTGCGTTATGAAATGGCTTATTGGCGCACAGTTTGACGGCCTTGGAGCACATCATGATATTTGGATTAGAGAACCTTGAGTATGCTGCAGCTCTTGTCTGTGATGTGAGATTGCAGCTTAAAAGCGAGGAACGCGTAAGAACTTTTCAAAATATTGCTGCACATCGTGTGCTCATTACCACTTGAGTCCTCCTTGAGCTTAGCAACTAATAAATTTTATTAGCCCTGCTAATTTTTCGTCTCAATTTAACTATAGACACATGTGAGAGAAAACCTCTTTTAACTGGAGGCCCCTTAGAGAATACAGAAA